ATCCAAAATTCCGTGTTCGAACAAGGAATTTCCGTGTTAAAACAAAGAATTCCGTATTCAAACACGGAATTCCGTGTACGAACACGGAATTCCGTGTATGAACACGGAAATTCCGTGTTCGAATACAAAATTTTAGATTTCCGTGTTCGAATAAGGAATTCCGTGTTTGAACACGGAAATTCCGTGTTCTAACAAGGAATTCCGTGGTCGAACACATAATTTTATATTCGAGCTACAGTATTTATTGGTATATGTACGGCAGCGTAGAAGCGTAGATGCGAATATTTTGGTATAAGTATATTTTTCATCAGGTGTCATCATTTTTCGAAATATGACGCCATCACTAGTTTTTTAAGTAGCACCACCATTTTTTGATAATACCATTTAATAGAAATACAAGCAACAACATTTTTAACAGGTCCTCCATTTCTTTACTTTTTTCGAGCGATAACTAATAATTGGATTTAGAAAACACCGCCTCACTTTATCCCTCTTTTATCTAGGCTAGAGAGGCAATGAGAGTAAATTTAAAACACTATACAGGGTGTTATTTTAAATCGATTTAAATGAAATTTGGGCATCAGGGACTAGAGCCTAAGACATAAGACTGACCTGGAAATAAAATTAATGGAAAAATATTACTATGCAGGGGACAAAGAGGGCAAGACTTTTGATACTACTTCCTTGAGAAAATAGGATTGGAAGGGTCGCTATAGACATTGAGACATTTCCTTAGTGCAGTGGCGACAGAAGGGGGCACAATAGATCTTTTAGGTCGCAGTGTATTAACACCCCATTATCAACATAACATACTACTTCCGTCTCTTTTTTAAAAAATTGGCAAATGTAAAAATCTGAGGATATTCAAAGAATCTGTATTTACCCATCCCTCACAAAGATCCTCAAGTCACCCAAAAGCAACCTGTAAATACTTTATTTAAATTTATAGTTCGAAAATAAAATTCCGTGTTCGAACAAGGAATTCCGTGTTCGAACACGGAATTCTTTGTTTGAACACGGAATTTTAGATTTCTGTGTTCGAACAAGGAATTCCATGTTTGAACAGGGAATTCCGTGTTCGAATACAGAATTCCGTGTTCGAATACGGAATTCTTTGTTTGAACACGGAAATTCCGTGTTTGAACACGGAATTTGAGATTTCCGTGTTTTAACAAGAAATTCCGTGTTTGAACAAGGAATTCCGTGTTCGAATACGGAATTCTGTGTTTGAATACGGAATTCCGTGCACGAACAAGGAATTCCGTGTTCAAACACGGAATTTTAAAAATAAAAAAAAAATTAAAAGTGTGGCCCTTCTACGCTGCCGTATATCAGTATTAATGTTTTTATGCAAAGCACAGGCAACTAGACTTGACGCAAAATACACTCGCGTTAGCTCATCTTTTTGAAAATGCATTGCATTAGATTTTTTTTCTCGTAAATGCTCAAGTTTTAGAAAAAACTTGTAGAGTTAAAAAAGTTAGTCAATGAATTGGGCTTTTCAGTCATACTTTTTTAAAGAAAAAATTTTCATTTAAAAAAAAGTTGTAAGAAAAAATATCTTAGGGGTTGATTATTTCAACCCCTTCTAAGCATACTTCAGGGTTTAAAAAATTTCAAAAAGTGTACTTTTATTGACAGATAATGTTTACCAAGTTTCGTGTCTTTAGCTTGATATACAGGGAAAATAAAAAAGAAAAACCATTATTTTTTTTAATTTTAGAAGGGGTGTAACTTTTCCGGGGAGGGTTTTTTCAAAAAATTTTATACCAAACACTCACATTAATGTTCATCACAGAATCACCCCTTTAATTTATTCGGTGTTATTTAGATACACCCTGTATACGCAGGGATCCTGACGTCAGTGGGGCAGTTTTAGGAAAGACGTTATACATTAATGTTATCAGTTGAATAGTTGTTGTAAAAGTTGAGTTGAAATAAAATTGAGATACCAAAAACCTGCGTAACAATATTATGCACAATACGCAATTTTTAGACTTATCAAGTAGGCTATTTGCAATTAAATCCATTATATATTTTCAGTTTTTATGTCATTTCTGAAATTAATATGATCGTAGAAAAAATCTTGTATGCATTTTGAGCGAAAAATGCAGCTTACGACAGATTGCTCTTTGTCTCAAGGGGTAAAATATCACTTTTCGCTCGTAATTATTTATGAAATATACAGGGTGGTCCTTATTCGTGGAATATATTAATTATTGGCTTTATTATTACGTTTTGAAAAAATCCTTGAACAGGTCGATTTTAATTTCTAAAATGACATTTTCTGAACAAAATTATTTATCTCCCGCTTCAACCCCTTCGAAGTAAAAGTCACCCCTTTAATTTTTTTTAAATAGAAAGGAGTAGCGTGTGATACCTCATTTTAAAGCGTTTTTAATTCCCTATTCAGCAATATAAGATTTTTTGTTTTTTGTACATTTATATTCAAGAAACATCAATATTTATTTTTAACTATTCTATTAATGATACTACAATTTTATGGTATTAAATGTTCAAAATGACTGCCGTTAACTTCTTGACAATAACCAATGCGGTTATTAAATTGTTGAAGGCCATTTTGTATGACGTACGGGCCAATTTTTTCAATTTCTTTGGTGATTATTTCTTTTAATTCATCAATAGTCTCCGGAGAAAATAATCAAGCGGCGTTAAATCGGGAGATGGAGGTGGCCATTCAATGGCTCCACGCCTGCCAATCCATCTGTTAGGAAATACTTCATCCAAGTAGTCTCTCACTCCACGTACAAAATATGGTGGAGCACCATCTTGTTGGAACCAAACATTTCTATATGTTTCATCTGGATTGTTATTATCAGGATACAAAACTTGTAATTGAGGTACCAAAAAATTTGTTAAAAAATGTAAATATCCTTCAACTGTCAGAGAGTCATCAAAAAGTAAGGCCCAATGATTTTATTTTCGATAATACTACACCACACATTCACTTTTTTAGGAAACGGAGTCTCCATTATCCAATGACGCTCCAATAACGAGAATTGTGTCGGTTGACCGTTGCTTCGTCCGAAAAAAAATATTTTCTGTAAAAACTGCACATCTGCCTGACATCCTCAGCCCAGACAACATACCAAATCCCAGAGATATCCACAAAATATCTTTTGTGGATATCCAAAATATCCACAGGTTTTCAGAAATATCCCGTGGATTTAATGTGGATATCCAAATGTCCGTCTATATTCAGAATATAGAATATATCCTATGGATATCCACCAAAATATTTAATGGGTATCCTCCAGACAATACAAGAAATCCCAGAGATATCCACAGAATATATTTTGTGGATATTCAATATATCCAGTGGATCTAATATGGATATCCAAATGTCCGTCTATATCCCAGGATATAGAAAATATTCAGATATTCAGCAAAATATTTTATGGGTATCTTTAGTAGAGGTTCATAAGTAACCAATGATTATTGAATAACGTCGAAAGAAAATAGCAGAGATAAAAAATATTTTCAACACTCAAAATATTTTCAACACGCTGCCTTTGATTTTGCCCACTAAGGAGAAAATCATCCTTATTAGGACTCTTCAGCAATAAATGGAAATTTTCGACTCCAGTCTCTAATGGAGTCTGATTATGCTACCAATTTCGATCGAACTCAATTACGGCGGGTTGAGCATGAGTAGATATTCAACGAGCGAAAGTGGTACCGCCATCTATACTTAGTAAGCAAAATAAAAATTACATCTAGTGGATATCCACCATGGTTTGCATTCGCACCTAGACTTTGATATATTTAGTGGATGTCCATGGGATATTGAATACACCTTAAAAATTAATTTTAAATATTTGAACGGTACTATTAGCCACAAAAACGTAAAATTGTTGTTTTACTGACGTTGTGTTCAGCAGCAAGTTCTCTAGTAGATTTATGCGGATTTTCTTCAAGGGCTATCATAACATCTAATCGTTTATCCTCATCAACTTCAGGGTTTCTTCCTGCGTTACGAACTTGCTTCACATGCCCAGTACTACGAAATTTCTTTGCTACTTTGCTAACTGTAGACTGTGAAATATTATGTCCTGGATATTTATTATTAAAAAATTCACATACATCCCTATGCGTTCGTTTTCTATTGTCACAACCAAGCATTATTAAAATATCTATTCTCCGAGTTTCAGATAAATACGCCATAACGACTGTTCATAAAATTGAACTAATTAAATAGTATAAATTATAATCGTCAATTGTAAATAAATGTTCGTTGCTTATTCCCTTGTAGTAGAATAGCAAAAGTTTTTCATAAAAAGCTCGGTTTAACTTTTTATTGCCATTTTTTTACATGGTCTAAGATAAGATAGAAATATTATTAATAGAATAGTTCGGGGGCTGGTTAAAAGTATACATATGCGGACCGAAAGATTTGTGCGTCTTTCGCCAACCGTTCGTGAACCGCTTGTTCAAATTAGCTGCATATACATACGCGAACCGAACAGTATACGAGCCGTTCACGAACCTCTAATTCTCATGATTTGGAAGAGGTTTGGAACACCGAACGAACCGTTTGCGAGCCATTTGCAAACCAATTATGGCGATCCTACGCTTATTATTTTACATGTTTGACACTTACAAGTGTCGTGTAAATACCAAATTGAAGCACAACATTTATCTCAGTTTATTGCCTCAAGTTTGTTGGTATAGGTTCTGAATTCTATTCATCCTGCTTTAGCAATATTGTTTCTTTTTCTTTTTGAGGGCCGTAGATAAAACTTTATACGATATTCGTGAAATACTACATCACAATGCTTGCATTAATAATGTTTATATTCCACTTATTTAACGGCCTTAAATGCTGGTTGGAATTTTAAACTGCCGCCTTTATCACATCTTTGTTATACTGTATTTGAAGCTATTTATCTCCTACCATACCATTCTCTATGTACCCTGTTATTATATATATAATTATCATTTAGAAATCTAAACTAATAATCATATTTTCTAAATTTCAGCCTCGAGAAAGCTATTCGGAGGCTATCGGATAACGCCGAGATACTGCAAACCAACTCGTCCACCATCAATTCCATTAGGCGGACCCAACATCTGCATGTTCAATCACGAATGCAGACAAAAAGAAGGACTGGTAGTCGGAGCTTGCATGGACGGCTTCCTATTCGGCGCCTGCTGTCAATTAAAAGAAGGATCAATCGTCGGAGAGTACCTGGATGAGGATTCAGTTCCCGGATACCTCTCTGAGAACCACATTTCAACGAAAAGGCCGGTTGACATAACTTCCATAGGAGTATCGCAAATAGCTGAATCTCTTTTGTATCCCGAAAGACTCCCGCCAGCTGATTTTGACACCCAATTAAATAAAAAACCGTTTTTAACCTCAATCATAACGTCTACAGAATCATCGAAACCAGTACATATAAGTCAACATGATAACGAAATACTTGAGGAATATTTTAGCGAAGGAACGACCTCAAAGTCACCAATATTAGGCATTTCCTTATCGAACGCCCCTTTAGAGTACACCACTGTATCTCAATTCGGCAGACCAATCTTCAAACCAAAGCCCATAAAACCAAACGACAACAACTATATTAGAGTTCCGACGATAACGCATAGTACCAAAAATAGTACTGAAAATTACGATTTAATTGGTACTAGTCCACCATTGCTAGGCAGTTCTGAATTCCAAACAGATGTAGTAATAACGTCTCGCAAACCACCATCTACCTCTTACATTTTTAGCACCACATTACCTCCGAGAAGAACTCAAGCTACTACAACGAAAAAGAGACCGATTACTAAAGCGACTTTGAAACCGTCTACTACATTTGTGAGCTCTACTACTAAGACTACGTGGGCTTATGCTCCTAGTGCTTTTGTTACTAGTATAAAACCACCTTCCACTTCTTATGTATATAGTTCCTTGCCTTCAAGACGACCTCCTGCTTCAACTATAAGCTCGCATGTGGTTGGCCCAACTTATAGCGTCAGTTCCAATCCTGTGTCAAGTACCTTTTCTACCCCAGCACCTACTATAATCGTTTTAGGTCCGCTATCTACAGAAACTCAAACCGAAAGGCCTCAACCTAGTACTTATGAACAACCTAGTACTTACGAGCAGTATCCTGTTAGTATACATCGACCAACGGCTCTTCCTAACAAGAAACCCCAAAAACCGTTCAACCACGTTACTATTAATCAACATTTGGTGCAAAATATTTACAGTACAACAAAACTGCCTCTTTTTACAGATGTTTCTACAGAAAGACCATCTCCTACTATTCTAATTACTCCAAAACCTAGCATTTCATCTTTTAGACCTCCAGACTACTCGGATACAGTAGAAGTTGGTACTTTATCATCTTCTCCAGATGATTTAATCAATTTTCCTCCAGTCAGAAACCCGAATTTAAATATGTCGCATATTCCTACTCTAACCGAAAACGATATCACCACTCCGGGTTTTATAGAAGACGATAATTTGAATGCCAACGTTGAATCTTTCGTTAATCAAATTATCGAAGGATTGCAGGAACCATTTCAAGGATTAAGAGACGTTGTTAACAACAACAAAAATATTACCAATCTTCCTATTGGAACCACAACTAAAAAACCTATCAAATCTGGTACAGTAAGTAAAAGGCCCGTGGGAACTACGTTGAGACCTGGCGGTACGAATACTAGGATACCTACGACCAGGCCAGCTCAAACTACTACCAATAAATCTGGTAATAGAAGGACGACCACTCCGGGTACGACCAAGAAGCCTAGTAACACCAATAAGAAGACGAAGCCGACGAAGAAGCCTGCGACAACGTTGCAATCTTTTATTGAACATGTGACTGATAATGTGGTGATCGACCCTGAAGATTACAGGACAGGTTAGTACTATAACTAAAATAGATTATGCTTAGCACCAATACGTTACATTTTATTCATCTGGTAATGGTGTTATCAATATAATGTAGATATTAAAAGTGGCAACAGAGTGTATGATATCTAAATATTAAAGAAGGGTATAGTATACTACATATACATTAAAATATTTCCAATAATAAGATTCAAATTTTCAGAATGCGGCATTCGTCCATTGGTTCGTACAGCGAAAATCGTCGGAGGCAAAGGCGCCATTTTCGGTGAATTTCCCTGGCAAGTTTTGGTGCGAGAGTCAACATGGTTGGGGCTGTTCACCAAAAACAAATGCGGTGGTGTCCTGATTAGTCACAAATACGTCATGACCGCCGCTCATTGCCAGCCCGGATTCTTGGCATCGTTGGTCGCAGTTTTCGGAGAATTTGATATATCTGGAGATCTGGAAAAGAGGAGACCGATCAGCAGAAACGTCAAAAGGGTCATCGTCCACCGACAGTACGATGCGCAGACTTTCGAGAATGATTTAGCTCTGCTGGAGCTTGAGCAACCCGTTCAGTTCGATCAGCATATCAGTAAGTGTAGTCTATAATCCCTACTTGCATTTAATATACTTGGTTTGAAGAATAACAGATATGTAATAAAAGTATGACTTACTGTAGAACATCGGCAAAGTTTTTAGGCTAAATAAAAAAAAACAAAGGCTTGGTAAACTATTGAGGCTGACTTTATTTTTTTACAGACCTTTAAAACTGACAATTCAACATTAACTTACCATATAAATCAACTTAATCTAAACCATATCTAAGCTGACTAGCAGACAAGTCCTTAACTCTAGTGAATAGCGTAGTATTTCAATACTTACCTTGTCCTACATCCTTTTTTCTATCTTTCTTCGTATTATTCCCACTAAAATAATTATTTTTTCATCTTCTTTCATCTTTTTTCGTCTTTTCCTTCTTCTTATTCTTCTTCTTTGGTTCCTTTTGTCTTTCTAGGCATCCTCTATATGAATTATAATCTATTTTTAAGTAACCGTACAATTATTAACACCGTTAAATGGTATTCCAGTTCCGATTTGCCTTCCGCGGGACGAAGAGGACTTTACGGGACGAATGGCGACGGTGACTGGATGGGGACGGCTCAAGTATGGCGGCGGTGTGCCGTCGGTGCTTCAAGAAGTTCAAGTACCGATAATGGAAAACCCTGTATGTCAAGAGATGTTCAGAACCGCTGGTCATTCTAAAGTTATATTGGATTCATTTTTGTGCGCTGGATACGCTAATGGGCAGAAAGATTCTTGCGAAGTAAGTATTTTAATTTTATAGCATAGCAGTCTCATTCAAACAATTAATTGCGTTTCAGTGTATATAAGTATATTATATGTATTTTTCGACTTTAGACTTAAATAACATTAGTTAAGTATATAATCTTTTAAACCAGAGGTTCCCAAACTTTTCAGAATCGTTTGTATAAGACAGAGTAGTACTTATTTTGATATTAACTAGAAAAGAGACATGTACAGGATAGTTGAAAAAGTAAGATGTTTTGTATGTGGGAAAAATATAAAAAAAATGTGTGCTTTTCTACATCTTCCATAGTAATAATATTAACTTTATAACATTCTTTTTCAGGGTGATTCTGGTGGTCCGCTAGTCCTTCAACGACCGGATGGAAGGTATCAACTCGCTGGAACCGTATCGCACGGTATAAAGTGCGCCGCTCCTTATCTACCAGGAGTTTACATGAGAACCCAATATTTTAAACCCTGGATAACTTCCATAACCGGAGTTACATCTCCTTAGTAGCAAATTATTTCGAAACAATCGATGGTTTAACTAAATAGCGATTACTGCTCGAAAAGTAATAAATAAATGGCGTAAATTAATTCAAAATTGTGATTAAAATTGAGGCAATGAGCTTCAACTGTCACAAATGACCTTGAATATTTTATAGGTAGAGTGCTCTTTTTGCTGCCTCATTTCCCATCTACTTTTTCTACTGCATTTTTTGTATTTTGAGGAATTTTATCTTACAAATCAATTGAGATATCCCGATGAGGTTTTCACTGAAGACTTAAGTAGGGTTGGTCATAAGTTTTTATTAGAGCACACCGGAAATGAAATTACAACTTCCGCTTGTAGAAAGGTGCTTAGTTTAAAAGTATTTTCGAAAATGGCTACGAAATTAGATCAAAAATATATATTTTTTTTAATCTATAAAGGATGGGAGCTTTCAAAATGTATTAATGTATAGGGTGTTCAATTTAAAGGAAGGCACTTTGAAATAGCGTTATTTTGGTTTTTTCTTAGCAGATATTTTCCAATATACTTAAGGGAAAACTGCATCGGGATATTTTAATTGGTTTGGAAGATATAAGTCTTTAAAATGTGGAAAAATGTCCTCAAAAATGTTCCTTAATTTTGAAAATATAACTCCAAATTCACTCAAGTAACTTGGGTAAAGGATAGGTTTAATTTGCTATGAAAAGGCCACGTAAGATCAAGTGAACTTGGACCCCAATGGATATTAGCCTTAGCCAGGATTACTGTAATAATGGAGTAGCCAATAGGCTATATTGAAAAGTCATTATTGTTAGAGATCAGTGGGATTAATTCGTTGTTGATGGGGATAAGGGGATGTATGCTATTGTTAAAGTGACCTTACGCTAACTAGTCTGATGAAGCGTTTATGAGTAGTCAAAAACACTTTAACTCCGTAATTTATTATTTATTTATTTAAATTTGTATTATACTATTATTTTTAAGAAAAAATGTTTATGAAACATAACTCTCACTTATTTATCTCATTTTTATTCGTTGATTAACGAAAAAAATACATTGACACGAAGATAGGAATGTCGGTAATGCAGTTTTCATGCAATATTTACAACGCAGGTTATGATTGTAGCTATGACATAGCTACAATTTAAACTATCCAAGTTTTTAAATCAGTTTTCAATTTAAATATAAGATTTTTTAAGGTGTTAGTGGACTTGTGGTATTTTCAATATCGTTACTATGTTTCTTTTTACTAGAAACAAAAGTAGTACAATACTAGTTGATTACATTGATGATTGAAATGGCGATCTTGAAAATATTAAGCCTACTATGTTGTTGTTAGTTTGTTAATGTTCATTCTGTATATTTGTTTAAAAATGTTGTTACCATAAAAACAAACAAAAAATATTTCGATAATTAAAAAATACAAAAGATAAAAAGATGCTTTTTTACCTGATAATTTCTTTCCTTTATAAATATTTCAGATAAATAAATGAAATATAGGTAACTAACGGGCGCGTTATAATATAGGCTTCATTCATAGACATCATATTAGCTAACCCCAAAGGGAATTTTCCTATTATTTAATATGAATCAAATATCTCTGCTCCTAGATATAGATACGTATTTTTTTCTAGCTAAAGTTAAGCACAAATACCACTTTAACCTGTCCTAAGAGAACGACTTGCAAGATTAAATAGGGTGTTTTTCAACCCCAGGAAGAAAATAGTCGCAATCAAATATCTTTGTTCCTAAACATAAAAATATATTTATTTTTTAGCATAAGGTAGGTACAAATACCACTTTTGAAATCCTCACCCAGACTCAGACGCGAACCAAGACGATTTTGAAATTTAAAAAGTTAAACTAGGTAAAAAATTATTATATCTTTTAAATTTTCTCAATTTTTTTTTAAAACCCCCCTAATACAAAATTCAGGCTGCGCCACTGCTGCAAAATATAAAATCATACAAAAAGCTGTTTGTGAGAGAGAAAGAGATATTAATTGATTAGGCATTAGGCATTGAAACACATACTTTGATTTTCTTTTAATATACGGAGAATGGTCACCACATACTTTGATTAATCAAAGTATGTGATGGTCACACTGCGCAGCTTTCTGAGTGCCTTTTAAAAGGAGATAGAAAACTCCGCCATTTTGATGCCTTATTACGTGTTGCCTACATCTTGGCGCAATATTTTTAATAGGTGTGTTTTAATCATCCGCTTCTACTTCGAAATTGTCGATTTTCTTGTTTTAATCTGACAGGTTAAAACGACTAAACCAACAATTCCGAAAGCAAAAGTGCATAATTAAAACGCACCTGATATTTTGCTTGCTGCTGTCAGTGTCAGTAAATATTATTTTTGGAGTCACAGTTTATTGCTAAAGAATCAGTTAGCTCACTCGGACCAGTTGAAAGTTCCAAAATAACATCCACTCCAGGGATACGAATTCAAGATGCACAGAAGACTGCTGTTTTATTATAGGCGGTTGTCATATATTGTATTATCCGAGTTGCGCAGTATGTAAACTGGAACATTGAGATCAAAAGTGCCGACGCAGAGTGAGCGATCTGATTCTTTAGCTATAAACTATGGCATAGGAATCAAAATGGCCGCGCCCTATGTTGGGCATGTCGGAACTCTCTCTTGCACCGTATAGTTATCAAAGTATGTGTTTTAAATACTCTCAAATTTTTTATAATATAAAATTCTGGCTGCGCCACTGCTGAGAATATAAAATTATACAAAATGTACAAACAAAACTGACAGTTCCCTAGAGCTTGTTGACAGTTGTGAAAAAATTTTGGCGCTGCTATAAAATAGACGAATCACATCAAAGATCAAGGAGAAAGAGAAAGTAATAGAAGGAACGGTACATACCATAGTGGCTTAAAACCAGTGTTGCCGATTGGCGCATAATTATGCGATTTGCGCACAATTTAACACGCCAGGTAATAATTTTCGCATTGTAAATTAAATCGTATAATTTCGCATAATCCCATTATAGGTCTGTTTTGGTTCTCAAAATGAAAACGGTTTTGAAACTGCCCAGATAGCACACTACTTCTTAAAGACGTCCAGTTCATGTCTTACTTTCGTCCAAACGTCCTGATACGTAAAACGGAAGGTTTTAAGATGCCCTGCTCAGGATATGTTTAAAACGTTCTTGTTATAGGTGGACATTCAACTCTTTTTGCTATATTTGAATATGGCGCCACGACACCGTTCTTGGCCTGCCTGCAGCGCATGTATGATCGTCATTCTTCATTGTTATTGGCTTAGATAGTCTCGCGCGTGCATATCGAGTCGTGTTCTTCCTCTAGCTGCCTTCTTCTCGGAACAGCCATTGTATAATATTTTTAGCGTCAGTCTGTGGTCATTGCTTTTTCGTGGTTGTGTGTTTTTATATATTGTCTTTTTATATTATTTATTTGCCATTATTGGAACTCTGATGTACCGGAACTAGTAAGCTTTATCATTAAAAACGGTAAGTTTTAATTTATTTGCCTTTTAATTTCATAATCTCACTTTAATAATGTTTTCTTTTTAGAAAAACACCTTAAAACAATAATTCAACAAAATTATATGCTACGGGGACATTAGTTACAGACGTTTTGGCTAAAATTAATACCATAAAATAAGTTTTTAAATCGACCAAACTGGAAGAAAGTAGGATTTCTGGGAATAGTTTCTCATAGCAACAAAGTACTTACTTGAAGTCATTTTCTAATTATGTTATCCAACACTGTAAAATAATATTTATTCTGTGTCAGTTTTAATAGTTTAATAATGTATAATAAACAATATTAGTATAGTAGACAAGTATTCATTTATTTTTTAAATGAATTTCTATCAAGTAAATAGACGACTTAAACACGTCCAATACGATTTGTCTTCAAGACGTACAAAACTGGATGTCTTAAAGGCATACAAAATTGGATTTCCTAAAGACGCCTTGTTTTGTAACAAAGTACGTCCTATAGACAGACGCATTTAAAACATCTTTTGGATATTAGCGTAGATCTTCAAAACGTCACGAACGTCGTGAATAAACGTATTAAAGATGTCTTTGAAACCTGTCTGTGCTATCTTGGTAGTGTCATTCTTTATTAACTAAAAATAAATCTTTTTGTAATACATGAAGATCATTATATTTTATTTTGTGGAAAAATCACTCATTTTATTATGTATACGATTTCATTCAGTTTTTTCTTGTGTCTTATTTATTGTTACTTATTTATTTTAAATTTTACGCTTTGAACTTGTTTTATACCTAAAAATATCAATGAAGTACTAATAACATAAATACAAGTTAATTTTTTTTATTTCCAACATGTTACGCCTTTGATCGAATATATATCGTTGGTGTTAGAATGGAACAAGATTTTCAGTCCTCTCTTTATTACCTAGTCTAAGAGTAACTCCAATGTTAAGAATGTCATATAGTAACAACTGTATTGTCCCATTGACAGCGATAACAAAGGGGCATCCTTTTTTTATCGGATACAAATTATTGTTCCTCAATGCAGAAATATTTCTAGTATGTCAAATCTGATTATAATTTATCTAATATCTTTTAAGCACTACGCAGCTTTAGGGGCACTTCAGGTGCACTTCACGTAATAATTTAAATCTAGTTATAATTTAATTGGTAGGTATCCAATACAGAGCATGGCTGATTTTCTTGAAGAACATCCTGAATAAACGTTCATTACGATAAGCTGTTATAGCCCATTGTTTTCCAAATAACTGCATTGTTATCCGTAGAATTTGCTTTTGCTATTTTAATTAATCAATTTATTGATACATCATCATTATTTAAATTTGATGCACCCGATATCACATCCCGCGTCCCAAAGCTGTGCATTTGTATGCAGCTATGTTGTGCCTAGTTGTTCAAAAATAATACACCTCAACCGTTCCAAAATAAATAAACCCTAATGCACGTAACGCTAAAGGTTATAAATTAGACGCCCACGCCGAAGGACTCCCACGCGAGTTTTCGTCCTTTACCGATC